CGATTCCTGAGGCCCATTACACCCGGGAAACTTCTGCCCTTCTGCTCGCTCCTCGCTCACCCACCATCCCTCTCCCAGCCTCTCCCTCCAGGGCTGGGGTTGCCTGAGGGAGTTGGAGGGGACAGAGATGGTTCTATGACATTTGGTCCATGTTTTGGACCCTTCTGATTGGCAAGGGAGGGTGGGGCCTGCTGTGGGACGGGGTGGGAGAAGCGGGCAGGGAGCAGGTTGTAGTAGGGCCCTGAGTAGTAGCTGGGAGAAGGTAGGGCTCTGGTTTGAGCAGCTCAGAACAAAGGGCTGGGAGGGGACTGGCGCGCTCTCCCCTCTGGTTTGAAACTTATCTGCAGGGGAAACACAATGGCATTAGCTTCCCTCCTGGTGTGTTTGAAGTGGTGGTTTTGGTCAGAGGGGTGTGTGCGCGTGTGTGTTTGTGTGTGTGAGAGACTTCTTTATTTAGCCGCACTAACACCGGGATTTCTTCATACCACCTATTTTCCAGGTCTCAGAGGAAGTGTCTGGGGATTGGCGTGTGAGAGATCCTGGAGCCGGAGCATATTAATTGCTTACTTAATTACTAGCTGAGCAGCTTATAAAAGCACTGCTTTCACCCCCAGGATCCTCCCAGCCACCCCATCCAGTCTGTATTATTATTTTCCCTGTCTGCTGAGCCTCCCTGACCACAAAGCACGGAGCAGTAGCCTGCCCGTGGCCACAGAGCTGGGTTCTGAAGGCAGGTCCTGGGTGCAAACTCCAGACTTTTTTTTTGTTTGCCAATGGCTGTGGCCCGTGAGAGGGTCTGGATGTGAATGAGGAGATGGAGAGTCTGGGTTCCGGTGGCTCTGTACCTCAGTGACAGTCCTTTTCCCCTTCCTGTCTCCACCCACGTTGGTCTGTAACCCACTTTCTCTCTTTGAACCTCCTGGTGAAATTCCCCCTTTAGGAGGAGGACAAGAAAGAATAGGCTGAACCAGTGTGGCTCGGTTGGTTGGGCGTGGTCCCTCGCACCAAAAGGTTGCGGGTTGGATTCCAAGTCAAAGGCACCTGCCTGAGTTCAGGCCTCGATTCCCGGTAGGGGGCGTGCAGGAGGCAGCCCAACGATGTTTTGCTGTTTCTCCTCACATCAATGTTTATCCTCTCTCTCTCCCTCTCCTTTCCTCTCTCTCTAAGAATCAATACTATATATATATATATATATATATATATATATATATATATATATATAATTTTAAAGAATAGGCTTAACCATAGCAAGAGAGAGGCAAGGGAGACATCAAAACTACAGGGTCGGGCAGAAGGAGGTTGTTCATGTGGAAAATAATACAACAATAATAAACAAGAATAAACTCTGTTTTGCATACTCACAGCTGTAAAACTACTTTTGCTCCATGCTGTATGTTGACTAAACCAGGAGAGGGGGTTCTCAAGAGGCGGGTGGAGGAGCCCCAGATGGAAACTGTACACAGAGCGGTGAACAAGGGCCCTGCTTGTGGTAAAGCTTTTTAAAAATATATATTTTATTGATTTCAGAGAGGAAGGGAGAGGGAGGGAACGATAGAAACATCAATGATGATAATCATTGATTGGCTGCCTCCTGCACGCTCCCCATTGCAACCCAAGCATGTGCCCTTGGCCGGAATCGAACCTGGGACCCTTCAGTTCTCAGGCCAATGCTCTATCCATTGAGCCAAACCAGCTAAGGCTGGTAAAGGTGTTTAGAAAGGTCAGGTTGGGTTAAGGCCTTATATCTCTGTCTCCCAGGTGTGTCTCTGTCACACACTTGCCTTGACATGGGGATGTGACAAACATCACTAGACCACGGAGTGCTTCCAAGTAATCCGGTTAGGATCAGTGAATGGGCTTAGTTAGCATCGATTCCATCTCCCTGCACGCACTGCCCTTTCCCTGAGAGTCAGAGGCATGCTTGTTTACTGGGTGCGTGAGTGACTTGCTCGGTGCCCACGGGAGGGCGGTGGATACTGTTCAGTCCCCGTTTGCAAGTTGGCGATGGTTTCACTTCATTGGGGAAAAGGTAGCCACTAAGCAAAGCAAACTCATTTTTTTTTAAAGCATTTCTCTCTTTTTTAAAACACAAGGTATTTTTTATATTATATATATATTTTATATTATATATATTTTTTATATTATATATATATTATATATTTTATTGATTTTTTTTACAGAGAGGAAGGGAGAGGGACAGAGAGTTAGAAACATCAATGAGAGAGAAACATCGATCAGCCACCTCCTGCACATCTCCTACTGGGGATGTGGCTGCAACCAAGGTACATGCCCTTGACTGGGATTGAACCTGGGACCTTTCAGTCCGCAGGCCGACACTCTATCCACTGAGCCAAACTGGTTAGGGCTAAAGCAAACTCATTTTAGTTCTGAACAATCAGCCTCTCAGCAGCCGTTGAGCTGGCTGATTTACCCCACGAGGGCTGCATGGAAGCCCACTCCTCTGGTCTCACCTTCTCAGCCCTTTGCCTGCTCCCTTTCCTCTGGACACTTACGTATTGGGGTTCTCAGGGACCTCTTATTAATTCCCTAGGTGACCCCATTCATCCCCATGATCTTGAAGCCCCAGCTTCTGAGTCCAGCTCCTCTGAGACCAGCTGCCTACTCCGCTGCCTCGAAGGCCATGCACTCGGCACGCTGGACACGGGGCATCGTCTCCCTGCTGGATGGCTTCCTCCGCAGTCTGGCCTGCCCTGTAACAGCACCGCCGCCAACGCTTGCTCAGCCAGAGGTCCCCGCTCCCCCTCAGCCAGTCCTCCTCAGTCCCGTGGGTGCTGCCACCAACACTGGGCTCAAGCATGGCCATGTCTTACCCGCTTTGCTGCTCTGCCCTTTCAAGCCAGCATGGCTGCAGGAGCTTCCGTATTAAGCTCCCTGTTTCTGCTCTGCCCTCTTTCCATTCATGCCTGGTAGCTAAAGCCCTTTGCAGCCTTCCCGTTGTTTAAAACAGCCCACGAGCTCTTTGCCGGGCCCATGGGTCCCGTGATAGCCTGGCCCTGGGCTGCCCTTCAGCTCCCATACGTTCTGTCTTCTTAAAACACAAAACTACAGCCAGCTCCTCACTGCTGGCCTCCCCGCACGCGATTCTCTGCTCCATGGCTCCCCTTCCGCACTCCTGGTTAACTCCTGCTTGCCCTCAGGCTTACTAGGAGGTGTCATGTTCTCAGACTTTCCAGAGCCACCCCATTGTTTTTTTTAATTTTAAAATATATTTTATTGATTATTTACAGAGAGGGAGAGGGATAGAGAGTTAGAAACATCGATGAGAGAGAAACGTCAATCGGCTGCCTCCTGTACACCTCCCACTGGGAATGTGCCCACAACCAAGGTACATGCCCTTGACTGGAATTGAACCGGGGCTCCTTCAGTCCACAGACTGATGCTCTACCCACTGAGCCACACTGGTTAGGGTCAGAGCCACCCGGTTTAAAGTAGCCCTTCCTTCCCCAGAGTTGTCTCTCATAAGTTCTGGTCTTCTCCGTTCCTCAGTCTATAGGTAGTCATTTATACTCCCCTGTTTTCTGGCTCAGGGTACACCTGCCCCATCAGACTGTAAAGGCGGGGCCCGTTTCACCCCTGGATACCCTCTGTGCATAGCTCTTCGTAGGGGCCCAAGAGAGAGCTGATGATGCGGCGAGTTTAGCTCAGGCATAAGCCCTCAGTGCCTGCTGATGATGGGTGGGGTCGGGTCAGAGGGGACGGTAGACTGTTGGGTGCTAGAGTAGGTGGGGGTGGGCGGTGGGGCTTCTGAGAAGGGCTGGGGGCAGCTCCGAAGTGGGAGCAGGATTTGGCTGAGAGTTGGGAAAAGGCGGGAAGGAGAGGGCGTTGTCCTCTGCAGAATTATTTTAGAACGCGCACGTGGAGGGGAAAGATGCTGCCCCTCAGCCCACAGAGGGACAGATAAACTCACCATCTGGCTCACTTCAGGATGTTTGGCCTTTGGCCTGAACCCTCACTGCTTGCCGTCCCTCGCCCCGCCCAGGACATACATGCACACACACACAGACACTCAGCCTCCAGGGAAGCAGCCGTCCTGACCTGGACCAGAGCTGTAGGTGTGTTTGATGTGCATCCTGGGAGATGGTGTCAGGAGAATAGTCCTAGACAGCCCCCTGTGGGCAGACCCGGAAGCGGAGAGGTGGGGCCATGACTGCAGGTGAAGAAGAGGCCTGGGCTGAAACCTGTCAGGCCTGTGGACTGAAAGGTCCCAGGTTCGATTCCGGTCAAGGGCATGTACCTTGGTTGCAGGCATGTCCCCAGTAGGGAGTGTGCAAGAGGCAGCTGATCGATGTTTCTCTCTCATCGATGTTTCTAACTATCCCTCTCTCTTTCTCTCTGTGAAAAATCAGATACACACACACACACACACACACACACACACAGGCCTGGGATAGTTCCTGGACAGGATCCAGTTGCTTCCTGATCTCTGTGTTGGTCTCTGTTGGTCCAGCCTGTTGGCCTGGCCAGTCCTACCCTCTCCTTGCCTCAGTTTCCCTGGCTGAGAATAGGAAAGCATTGCCCTGAGTCTCCCCTGCAGGGTTGGGTCACTCTGGGAGGCCTTTGCTGGCATCTTCCTCCGCCCTGAGCCCGGGCACAGTCTGGGGAGGGGCTCTTTCCGGGACGCGGGGCAGGAGGCCCTGGGCGCTGGAATCGCGCAGGGACCTGGACGTCGTGTCTCAGGCGGTGGCCGGGCACACAGCTCGCTGCGGCTGCTGTTCGGGGTGTCTTCCTTTGTGCTGACCCCCCAGGACCTCCTACCCCTAACGGACTCTCTGCCTTCTCTCTCCCTAGGGGCCGTCGCTTGATTTTCTCCGAGACAAGCCCATCCGTCCAGCAAGATAGAGTCCCTCAGGGTGACGGTTGACTTCCTGAAGGTGCCCTTCGGCCTGAAGAAGCCGGTGCTGAAGGAGGTGGCGGTGGGGCCCCCCCAAAGGCCCCAGCCCGCGGCCCTGGAGCGCTACAAGGCGCGGCGTTCCGACGCCATGGACACCGAGTCCCAGTACTCGGGCTATTCCTACAAGTCGGGCCACTCCCGCAGCTCCCGGAAGCACAGGTGACACAGGTGGCCCAGGGGGAGGGGGGATCCAGCGGGGGGTACGCTCCAGCGGGGGTGGGCGGTGGGGAGGGGGTGGGTGTGAGGAGACCCAGGTGCTCCCCTTGACCTTCTGTGCCTGTTCCCCCCGCCTCTGCTGCAGGGACCGACGGGACCGGCACCGCTCCAAGAGCCGAGACGGGAGCCGTGGGGATAAGTCGGTGACCATCCAGGCTCCGGGGGAGCCCCTGCTGGACAACGAGTCCACGCGTGGGGATGAGCGGGTGAGTGTCGGGGGGCATGGGGTGCAGGGTGGGTGTTTCCAGGCTGACCCTTGGTGAAGCTGGAGGCCCACCAGAGGCGAGGGGCTGGCAGGAGGGCCCAGATCTGTCCCAGGGCCAGACACTGTTTCAGCGGAACTGAGGGGATTTCAGTAGAAATCCCGCTGGGAGCAGCCGTCTCTTTATTCCTCATCCTCAGAGAGGTGGGGGTGACCGAGGCTGTGTAGGGGATTCCCTGCTTCCTCTGGCCAATGCTGGTCAGTCTGGCTGCTGGGAATGTAGAATGGGAGGGTGGGGCCAGGAAGGGGCCTAGGGTATGGGGAGTCCTGAGTTTTCTTTGAAGCCTTAAGGCGCGGGCCCTCTGGCACCCTCTGGTGTTGGTCTGTAGAACAGCATCGCCTGGGTGTGGGGTAAATGGGATATGGGAGGAGTGGATGGAGGAAGGGGAGGGAGGAGAAGGGAGGAGGCCAGGGTGTAGAGCTGAGGCTGGAAGAGTTCTCCAGAACATGGATTCTCCTGCTTTAACCTTTGTGGCCGCTGTGCTCACCTGCTGGGGAGGTCAGTGGCAGGACACAGGGCGAGAATAGGCAGAGCTAGGATGTGAGATGTCTCATTCCTCCTCTTTCTTCTTCTTCTTCTTCCTCTTCTTCTTCTTCTTCTTCTTCTTCTTCTTCTTCTTCTTCTTCTTCTTCTTCTTCTTCTTCTTCTTCTTCTTTTTAAATATATTTTATTGATTTTCTACAGAGAGGAAGGGAGAGGGATAGAGAGCTAGAAACGTCGATGAGAGAGAAACATCAACCAGCTGCCTCCTGCACCACCCCCACCAGGGATGTGCCCGCAACCAATGTACATTCTCTTGACCAAAATCGAACCCAGGACCCTTCAGTCCAAAGACCGACGCTCTATCCACTGAGCCAAACCGGTTTCGGCCTCCTCTTTCTTCTTGAGAGCATCTTATGGGGCAGGGGATTCCCAGCCCCCTCCCCCCTTTTTTCTCTCTCACAAGAACTTGTTGTGACTGACATTGGGACTTCCTGGATCTTGGGGACAGAGCAATACCAGATGTAAATGCTTTTTCTCCCTCTTCCGCAATGCTGTCTTCTCCCGAGACGTGGCCTCCTGCGTTCTTGAAGTGACCCCGAGATGTGGGGCTCTCCGCGGTGGGAAGCAGTTCCCAAGCCTTGGTCCTTGGGAAGGGTAGGCCCTGGGTCTGGGTGAGGAGTGGACCTGCCTCTTGAGCTGAAAGTGGCCAGTGTATCCACTTCCTCCTTTTGGACCGGACTCTTCTGTCCGTGGGAGAGGAGCCTCCTCAGCTTCTTGGTCAGGGTTTCCTTCCTGTAACCCAAATCCCCGGTGAAGGATGTGACTCCATACCCGCAGCGGTCCAGGTGTGGAGGGCATGAGCGCTGCTCCGCTTGTAGTCTTGGGCTCCTCTGTGAGATGGCATGTAGCCCCTTCAGAGAAGCAGCTTGAGGGGACCCCCTCAGGAAGGCATCGGGGGGCCCCAGCCTGTCCACCCCCTTGCTTCCAGGAAGGGGCAGCCCCTGTGCTGTGGGCATGGAGCTGGCCGGCCAGAGCACAGAGCCAGAGCGGTCCTGGTCTGACCATGGCCCCATACTTGCACTATCATCACCTCCCCCGGTGTCCCCTTTTCCTCACCACACTGCTGTTGTCAGTCACTCCCTTGTCAGAAGCCTCGAGTGGCTCTCAGTGCCCGGAGAATAGGTGTTTCTTTTTTTTTCTTTTCTTTTTAAAAAAAAAATATTTTATTGATTTTTTTACAGAGAAGAAGAGTGATAGAGTTAGAAACATTGATGAGAGAGAATCATCGATCAGCTGCCTCTTGCACACCCCCTACTGGGGATGTACCCGCAACCAAGGTACATGCCCTTGACCGGAATCGAACCTGGGACCTTTCAGTTTGCAGGCCGATGCTCTGTCCACTGAGCCAAACCGGTTTCGGCGGAATTGGTGTTTCTTGCTTTGCCTGGTATTGCAGGTCTCCCATCTGCATTGCCTGGTGAGCGTGACCTCAGGTCCCAGTCGCTGTCGAGCATCTCTCCTGTGCCCTCTGCTCTGAGGGAACTCTGTGCATGTGCAGTTTTTGCTGCCCCGCTGCCCAGTGTGCAGACCCCGCCTCCCCCCAGGCCCAAGTCTCAGGTGTCCTCTCCTTGCAAAGGCCCAGCGTGGACGCAGGGCGCTTAGTCCCTCCGACGGCTTCGTCCCGGCTGACTACCTTTTCTTCTTCCTCCCTCCCCTCTCCCCCGCCTCCCTCCCTCCCGTTCTCCTCGCCCCCACGGCTTTTAGGATGACAACTGGGGGGAAACGACCACCGTAGTCACCGGCACGTCGGAGCACAGCATCTCCCACGATGACCTCACGCGGATCGCCAAGGACATGGAGGACAGCGTCCCGCTGGACTGCTCCCGCCACCTGGGGGTGGCCGCCGGCACCACGCTGGCGCTGCTGTCCTTCCTCACGCCGCTGGCCTTCCTGCTGCTGCCCCCGCTGCTGTGGCGGGAGGAGCTGGAGCCCTGCGGCACGGCCTGCGAGGGCCTCTTCATCTCCGTGGCCTTCAAGCTGCTCATCCTGCTGCTGGGCAGCTGGGCCCTGTTCTTCCGCCGGCCCAAGGCCTCGCTGCCCCGCGTCTTCGTGCTGCGGGCGCTGCTCATGGTGCTCGTCTTCCTGCTCGTGGTCTCCTACTGGCTCTTCTACGGGGTGCGCATCCTGGACGCGCGGGAGCGCAGCTACCAGGGCGTGGTGCAGTTCGCCGTGTCGTTGGTGGACGCCCTGCTCTTCGTGCACTACCTGGCCGTGGTCCTGCTGGAGCTGCGCCAGCTGCAGCCCCAGTTCACGCTCAAGGTCGTGCGCTCCACCGACGGGGCCAGCCGCTTCTACAACGTGGGCCACCTCAGGTACCGGCGCCCGGGCGCAGGCAGCGGGGCCTGGGGCGGGGGCGGCGGGGACCAGGTGTGACGATGGGGCCGGAGGTGCTGGGCTGGGAGGGCCCAGGGGGAAGGAGTTCAGCACGTGGCACATAGTGTGTGTGTGTGTGTGTGTGTGTGTGTGTGTGTGACAGTGTCTGCGGCTTGATGCGCAGGGTCCTGAGACGAGACGGGGTGAACAGGTGGACAATCAGAGATCTTGGAGAGAGGGGTGGGCCCGAGAGGCGAAAGCTGTGGCCCAAACAGGCCTGGGGGAGTCACTGTGCTATTTCTTTCTCGGAGGCTCAGCCTCCTGTGATCGCGGGGTGAGTGGTCCCTGCGATGAGGTGGCCAGAGGAGGGCCCCTCAGAGCCAAAGATGAGGAAAGCGCTTCAGCCCTCCCCACCCACTCTGTGGGCAGGACGCTCCCTGGCCACGCAGAGAGTGTCAGGAGCTCTTCCTGATCCTGTAGGGAATCTCGGGGGAGGAGAGGGGGGAGATCCTAAAAGGGGTGAGTGCCCCTCGGCTGGGGACCCAGGCCCAATGCCCTTTCTCCCCTGGGCTTCAGTACGGCAGGGAAGGACTTAGGAGGCCCAGCCCTGGGGAAGGCGTGGGAACCCGGTAAGTAGACCTCAGGCCCTGAGCCAGGCTTCCTGGAAGCAGCTTGTCCCTGTCCCGTGTCCTTTCCTGCCCTACCAGCCTGCCCTGATGTCTCCCTTCCCCTGCGCCCCTTGTCTGTCCCCGCTCCCTTCCCCTCCTGTGTCTCCCCCACAGCATCCAACGCGTGGCGGTGTGGATCCTGGAGAAGTATTACCATGACTTTCCCGTCTACAACCCTGCCCTCCTCAACCTGCCCAAGTCCGTCCTGGCCAAGAAAGTGTCTGGCTTCAAGGTGTATTCCCTCGGAGAGGGTGAGCGGCCCTGCTCCTCAGCCCTCCTCGTCTTCTCCCCCTGGCAGGACTCCAAACCACCTCCGCCCTGCTTCTCTCGTCCCCCTCCTTCCCCTGCTTTCCCCTTTCCTCGGCCCTTGCCCCAGGCTCTTCTGTTCTGTCCTTCGCCTCGACTCCAGGTGGCTGGTCTTAGCTGCTGATCCTCCTTGCTGTCCCTCTAGGCCACGGTGTGTCCCCCCCCCGCCTGGCTCCTCTGCGTCTGCTCATCCGTCCTGGTCCTAAGCCCTCGGCTCTCTGAGCTCCAGAACCTCCTTCCCTGGCGAGGGACACGTGCAGAGCCTCTGCCTCCAGGGCCACCTTGTCTCCTGCGGGTCTCTCCCAGAAGTGGCCACCAGGGTTGGGAAGAGGAAGTACGGTTGGGGGTGGTCACAGCCTCCTCAGAGGTGTCAGATCGCTGTCTCCAGACTTCCTGCAGCGAGAGGCTAGGCCATGAACCCAAGTGACCACCCCCTTTCTCTCCTGCTCCCGCGCAGAAAACAGCACCAACAACTCCACGGGCCAGTCCCGGGCCGTGATCGCCGCGGCAGCCCGCAGGCGGGACAACAGCCACAACGAGTACTACTACGAGGAGGCGGAGCACGAGCGGAGGGTGCGCAAGCGGAGGGCCAGGTAGGTCCCTGGGGGGCAGTGGGTGTGGGTGGGCTCAGCGGAGGAAGACTGTCAGGCTTCTGTGGCTGTTGGAAATAGACACGTGAGCAATGGTGAGGGTGAGGGTGTATGTTCGTGCGCTGTTGTTGCCAGAGCCAATCACGATGAAGGCAGCTCTGTAGAACAACACACGTCTGTTCCCTCATGGTACCTGTGTAAGGTGGGGTTCGTTGGGCCTCCATTCAGGTCTCACAGGCCGACGTTTGAGCCTGGGTCGTCTGCCAGGCTCAGTGGTTGCTGGCAGAACCTTGTCACCTGGCAACTCACAATACGCAGTTTGCTGTCTTCTTGAGGGGCTCTCGAGCCTGGAAAAGCAGCTTTGAAAGGGCTCACGTGATACGATCAGGTCCACCATAACAACCTCGAGTTTTCCTTACTTGTTTTCAGATGGTAGGTGAATCTCTTTTTAATTGTATTTTATTATTGAGAGTATTATCCATCTCTCGCCCATCCCAGGCCTTCACCTGTTTATTATCTGTGTCCATGGACTACGACTAATTTGTACCTCAATCCCTTCACCTTTTTCACTCATTCCCTCAACTGCCTCCCACGTGGCAGCCTTCAGAATGTTCTCTGTATCTATGAGGCTGTTCCTGTTCTGCTTGTTTTATTATTATTTACTTTTTAAAAAAAATTATTTTTATTGATTTCAAAGAGGAAGGGAGAACGAGAGAGAGAGATGGAAACACCAATGATGAGAGAGAATCCTTGATTGGCTGCTTCCTGCACGCCCCCTACTGGGGATTGAGCCTGCAACCTGGGCATGTGCCCTTGACTGGAATCGAACTTGGGACCCTTCAGTCTGCAGGCCAACACTCTATTCACTGAGCAAACCCCACTAGGGCTGTTTGATTTTTAGATTCAATTGTTGATAGATATGTATTTATTACCATTTTATTGTTCAAAGTTTATCTTTTTTTTCTTCTTCTTCTTAAAGAAGACCCTTTAACATTTTCATGTAATACTGATTTGGTGGTGATGAATTCCTTATAACTTTTTTTTGTCTGGGAAGCTCTTTATCTGACCTTTAATTCTAAATGATAATTTTGCTGGATAGAGTAATCTTGGTTATAGGGCCTTGTGTTTTTTATTTTTTTGTTTGTTTTTTAATCACTTTTAATATTTCTAGCTACTCCCTGCTGGCCTGCAAAGTTTCTGTTGAGAATTCAACTGACAGTTGTATGAGTGCTCCCTTGTAGATAACTAACTGCTTTTCTCTTGCTGCTTTTATGATTCTCTCTTTGTCTTTAATATTTGGCATTTTAATTATGATGTGTCTTGGTGTGGGCCTCTTTGGGTTGGGTCTTTCTGCACTTCCTAGACTTGTATGTCTATTTCCTTAACCAGATTAGAGAAGTTTTCTGTCATTGTTTTTTCAAATAGATTTCAATTTCTTGCTCCCTCTATTCTCCTCTGGTACCTCCATGATGCGAATGCTGGTACACTTGAAGTTGTCTCAGAGGCTCCTTACACTATCTTTATATTTTTGGATTCTTTTTTTTAAAAATATATTTTTATTGATTTCAGAGAGGAAGAGAGAGGAAGAGAGAGATAGAAACATCAATAATGAGAGAGAATCATAATTGGCTGCCTCCTGCATACTCCTCATTGGAGATTGAGCCTGCAACCTGGTCATTTGCTCTGATCAGGAATCAAGCTGAGACCTTCTGGTTCATGGATCAATGCTCAGTTTCTAAGCCACACTGGCTGGGCTCCCTCCTGATATTAAACCACCAAATGTGAGTGTGGCACCAGCTGGTTCCTTGATTCTGCCCTGAGTCTTTGTCCTGTCTACCAGTCTTGATGTGCTTCTTTAATTCCCAAGTTGTGGGATCTCCATTCAGCTAGATTCCAGGTGGTTCTGAGTGATGGTTGTTCTGTATTTTAGTTGTAATCTTTTATATATATATATTTAATTGATTTTTTACAGAGAGGAAGAGAGAGGGATAGAGAGTTAGAAACATTGATGAGAGAGAATCATCGGTCAGCTACCTCTTGCACACCCCCTCCTGGGGATGTGCCCGCAACCAAGGTACATGCACTTGACCGGAATCGAACCTGGGATCTTTTAGTCTGCAGGCCGACGCTTTATCCATTGAGCCAAACCGGTTTTGGCTATTTTAGTTGTAATCTTGATGTGGCAGTGAGTATTACGTTTATCTATGTTTTCATATTGACTGATTACCGGTCTAATCTCATATTATTATATTTTTAAATACTGTCTATTGATTTTTTTTTTTTAGAAAGAAAGGAAGGAGAGGGATAGAAGAGAGATAAAAACATGAATGAGAGAGAAACATCATTGATCGGCTGCCTCCTGCATGCCCCAGATAAAGGGCACAACCGAGCCTGTGCCCTGACTGGCAATCAAACCGGTGACCTCTTGGTTCATGGGTTGATGCTCAACCACTGAACCACACCCACTGGACCTAATGTTGTATTTTAAAGTCAGTTGATTTGGCACTTTAATTTTACCCTCAAAATGTGCTGATGTTATTGAATCATCGGGAGTGGGAACCTGGCAGAGGTGGATGGAGGTACCTTTGAATTCCACCTACTGCAGTGGGCCAGGGACCAGTGAAAGGCTGTGAACTCCCCTGCGACAGCAGGGACTGAGGCTGAGATCTCCTACCAGCAGATCTTGAAAGCTTGCTCAGCAGATGGTCCATTTTTACCTGCAAAAATGAGGGTCTAGTGCCCCTCTGCTTCCTTTTTCCCATTCCCATTATTATGTGAATTTAAGTCACACCTGAAGAATCTTTCTTGCTGCCAACTGCTGTCAGGTCCCACCTGGGTCTGTCTGACAGGCAGTAGCAGGTCTCAGGCCCTTCCTCCCATTCTATCTCCAGGCCGCAAGGGAGGAAGAGAGCGCTTGGCCTGTCCTCCCACAAGCCTGGCGTCCTCTGCGCTAGACCAGAGATCATCACCCCATTTCTGCAGCGTCTCGGTGTGTTTTGAGTTGTAGAAGGCGCTCTCATGGAAGGAAACCGGAGACGTCCCCTGCTCCCTTACCTTCTGCCTTGCCTAAGGGTCTTGGCCGCCACCAAAGGGACCCTTTCCTTCCCTGTTACCTGGGGTGTGAGCAGAGGAGAGCTTTTCCCCTTGGTTCACCTGAGACAAGAGGGTCATTTCCAAAGGAACTTGACTGAGACCATTAGGAGAAGCGAAGGAATATAGAGGCACTGTCGATGGACACAGATAACCTGTCAGGGTGCACAGGTTTACTTAGCCCAGGATCCCGTTCTAAGCTATTTGAAGGGCTTCCAAGTATTGGTGTTGGGTGTCTCCCTCAGCTTTTAATGCAAATTGGCTTATTTTTCCTGTTCCCCTTTAACACTGTTTCTTTTAAAAAAATATTTTTATTGATTTTAGAAAGGAAGGGAGAAAGATAGAAACACCAATGATGAGCAAGAAACATCATTGATTGACTGCCTCCTGCATGCCTCACACTGAGGATCAAGCCCACAACCTTCGCATTCATGGCCCAAGCCCTGGAGAACTACCTCCTGACTGGGAATTGAACCCATGACCTCCTGATTCATAGGTCGATGCTCAACCACTGAGCCACACCAGCCAGGCAACACTATGTTTCTGAGATTCACTGATGTTGCCTAAATATTCAACGTGTACCATCCTATCTTTGCAGAGTAGTTCATTGAGTCCACACAACATCCTAACCAATATTTGGATTATAGTCATCTTCCTAAGTTTTTTTTCATTTTGTTGGATAAGTAATGTCTTATTTACATTTTAAATATCTCTAATTACTAGCAAGTGATTAATTCATAATTTTTTTTTTAGCCTTTTAGGCCTTTGGCGAATTGTTTGTTCATCTCCTTTGCCTGTTTTTCTGTAGTGTTTGGCCTTTTTCTTCTTGATTTGTAGCAAATTCTTAACATTCCACCCCCATCCTCTGCCCCAAGAGATTTTCATTAATGTCGTCCATGCTTAGAAACCGTCATTTTGGTGTATAATAGTTGTATCTATTAACCCTTGCGCCCCACCCCCACCCCCCCGCCCTCCCCCCCGCCTCCCACTATGAAGTGTGATTTGAGCATCTTATTTAAGAAAGCTTTTCTTAGTGCTTGCTGCAATGCTGGTCTTTCCCGTAGCACAGTTCTCAGTTGTCTCTCTGGGTTTGACATTCGAATGCTCTCTGAGTCCCTGGGCTGTGCTCACTGAGCTCTATAGCTGTCTCCTGTCTCCAGTGGGGAAACGCCCCCCCCAACAGCATATGCTTATGCGAATACACATAGTCCCTGAAGCCCAGCCCTACGCTGCACATGGGGTCCTATTGCTTCCTCAAGAGCACCGAGGCCTGGGCTTGCTCTGGCTGCTGGAGGGCTGGGGGGGTGGGGGAGGGGGAATGAGAGGTGGGCGTCTGCTCCAGACCCGTCCCGTCCCGTCCCCCGCCCCTCCAGGCTTGTGGTGGCGGTGGAGGAGGCCTTCACTCACATTAAGCGGCTGCAGGAAGAGGAGCAGAAGAACCCCAGGGAGGTGATGGACCCCCGGGAGGCAGCCCAGGCCATCTTCGCATCCATGGCCCGAGCCATGCAGAAGTACCTCCGCACCACCAAGCAGCAGCCTTACCACACCATGGAGAGCATCCTGCAGCACCTGGAGTTCTGCATCACACACGACATGACGCCCAAGGTGGGCCTGCTCCGCCCAGCATCCTCTGCTTCCTCTAGTGCTGGCAATCCTTCCCAGCTCGCTTTCCCATATTCTCTCCCTTCTTTCTTTACTTTCCATTTCTCTCTCTCTCCTCTCTCCCTCTCCCTCTCCCTCCTTCCCTCTCCTTCTCCCTCCTTCCCCCAACCTTCTTATAGTCTCTTCTCTCATTTCTGCCCCATCCACCCATCTCTGCAGGGGCTAAAGTTCTTAGTGGTGAGGAGAAGAGAGAACTTGGGGACCATTTGGGGAAAGGTTGAGTCTCTTTCTCATCTCTAGAAAAGCACTGTCACTCCCAGATCTAACATCCCACGTTCACCCCTTTCCTTCCAGCAGATTTATTTTTGTTGTTGTTGCTCTCTTTGAACCATTTTGAGCCATTACCCACCCCCTCTGCTTTTTGCCCACTGCCTAGTCTTGCTTCCCCTGAGCCATCCTGGGTGCACGGGTGGCGAAAGACACTGCACTTGAACCAGGACACCTCCAGCTTTCTGCTGGTGCAGACCTGCCCGTCCCTGAGCATGGCAGCTGGGTGGAGAGGAAGGAGGAATGCGGAGGGCTTGCCCGGATCATCCAGGGTGTGAGGGGGAAGGGCAGAGCATGGTGTTAGGAGAGCTGAGCTCCAGGCCCGACCCTGCTGAGCCACATCACCTCTGTGGGCTTCCGCTTCCTCGTTTATAAAGCACGGGTCTGGCACAGACGGTCTCAGCCTTCCTCCTGCTGTGACATCCTGAGACCGTTGAGTGCCCGGTGAGCTGGGGCCTGCTGCCATCTTTGGAAGCGGAGCCCCGGGGTGTGCAGGGCGGCGGGTGGGTGGGTGGGAGAGCTTCTGACTCGGCTCCCTCTCCCCTTCCCAGGCCTTCCTGGAGCGGTACCTGGCAGCCGGACCCACCATCCAGTACCACAAGGAACGCTGGCTGGCCAAACAGTGGACCCTGGTGAGCGAGGAGCCAGTGACCAACGGCCTCAAGGATGGCATCGTTTTCCTCTTAAAACGCCAGGACTTCAGCCTGGTGGTCAGCACCAAGAAGGTCCCGTTCTTCAAACTCTCCGAGGAATTTGTGGACCCCAAGTCGCACAAGTTTGTCATGAGGCTGCAGTCGGAGACCTCGGTGTGACCGTGTCGCAGCAGGGGGAGTGGGAGGCTCCGGGGGCACTGGGAGGGGCTGGGCGCTCAGGTCCGGCCCTGTTCTTGCAGCCCTCGCCCTCGCGTGTTTGGTGTTTTTTTTTTTTTTTTTTTGGTTTTTTTTTTTACTTGAATGAACTTACCCCTACCCTGTCTCCTCCCCTCTTCGGCCATCGTGGAGAGACCATCCTGCTGTCATCAGTACCTGGGAGGTTCCCTCTTCTCTGCCCCCTCCCTCTGGTACCTTCCCAGGCCCTGCAGGAATCAGTGCCTCTCCTCCTCCCTCTCCTCTCTCCTCTCCTCTCCCCGGATGACTGTCTTTTCTGAACATGCACAGGGCTCTCCTGAGCCCCCACTCTTGAACCCAGGTTCTCGTGGCTGTTCTTCCCGGCGGCTCCTGACGGGGTGCCTCTGGGGGGCACAGACATGGCTGCAGAGAACCACGGTGCCAAACCCCTCCAGGGCAGCAGCTTCCCGAGACCTCCCAACGGCAGGCGGTCCGCCCCTCCCACTGCTCACTCACCTGCAACAGATCCTGAGTTTCTGGGGCGAGGGCAGGCCTGTGTCCTCCCCCACCGCCCCAGAGTTAGGGGTTCCCCTGCCAGAGCGATTTGCTTCCTGCTGTGAGAGCCTCCCACATCCGGCCATCCATATTCAGGGCAAGGGATGATCCTGTCTTCACCCTGCAGTCTCCACCGGCTGCTTCTGACATGTGACCGTGGGCAGCCTGGGACAGACACCATCTGCGACCTCCTTTCCTGGGTCCCCTCTTTTTATGGCTCTTTCCTGGGTAGCCCCTGAGGGAAGGGCAGGAGAGACATCTCAGTGGGCCAGGTTCCCCTTCCCAGCAAAGGATGACCTGGAGACTCCAGCACAGAATTACCTGCCTGTGGGCCCCACCCCCGCCCCGGTGGCCTTAGGCAAACACTGTTCTTCCTTTCACCGGCCACCTCCAGTCTCGCTGTCTCTTCCTTCAGCTCCAGAGACCTGTTGTCTCACCTCTCTCTTGGGGGGAGCCAGCTACTCCTCCTTGTCCCCTGCCTTAAGTCCACCTCTTTGTCTCAGGGGTCTCTCTCTTCCTTGGCTGGCCAGGGTCCCCTCCTCTCCTCCCTCTGCCCGGTTCTCTGGGCTCTGGCCTCCCTCTGTGTTGGGGTGAAGGACCAGGATCGCTGCCTTTTGTGGGTGTGGAGCCCCTTACCCCGTGTAGCTCTCACCGTCCTTGCACCCAGTCTGAATTCTTGAGAATTTCCATCTCCTTTCGAGCAACGTGTGCTGGCCCTCTACTACATAGATTCGGTGTAAATCTGAGCCTTGAAACCATGTGGTTTTAGCCAGGGGGTGGGGTGGGGGTAGGGGGAGGGACGCATCCAGATACCTCCAGCCAGGACCCATGTGGCAGACCTTTAAGGTGGCTGGGCCGGAGGGTGCCTCTGGGTCTTACCCTCCAAATACATCGCGGTGTCCCTTACAGGCCTGTCTGTCCCCAGAAAACTCACTGGCCGTTGCCTTGCAGAGAGCCGCTTGGGGTCAGATCCCCAGGGGAGTCTCAGCAGAGTCCTGGGCTTGGGGGAGCCTAGCGACTGGCATTTCTCCTGCTGTCCTTTCTGGAAAAGCACATCTGCCCCCTCCCCCGTCCCCCTACCCAGCACCTCCACTTACTGAGCAAGGGCTCTTCAGCCAGGGCTGACCGTAGGCAGGGCCCGGGCTTGTGGACAGACCTGAGGGGAGGACGTCCACTCTTGGGGGTGCCGGTGTCGGAGGAGCGCGCCTGGGTCACATTTCTAAATACCTCGCTCTCCTGGGAAACGGGCCCGGATGGTGACCGGGGCCATTGCCGCCGGGGGCAGGAGTGGGGCCGTGTGGTGTGAGGGTGGCGTTGGAGAGGGAGACGGTTGGGGGTCTTCGTTGCTGCCCCGGGTTGGGGGCAGGGAGTGTTGTTTAAGAACCTGCCATGTGTTGAATCACTGTGATCTCTTCATTCCTTTTCCCTGAAGCAAAAAGAAAACCCTCCGTATAAGCACCAAGGGCCGCGACTGAGGATGATAGTGTTTGGGCCCTTTGTGTCAGAGCTGTGGTATCTTTATCTTCTTGGATGATGTTGATTTTTTAAACTGTCAGGATGGATCGTCACGTGCGTGGCTGTGTGTCCGTCCTTCTCCTCTGTGGGAGGCTGTCTTCATGCTGTGAATTGCCGTGGGGCGTGCAGCTGAGTCCCCCTGTGCAGTGTCCTTCCTGTCTCCTGTCCCGTCACTCATTCTTCCCGGTGGGGGTGTGCCCGCCTCTGCCCCCACCCCCAGGGGGCGCTGTGGCTGGGTCTTCCTATGACTTCATGGCATCCTGGTGCCGCCCCTTCACACCTCCTAGGCCTTCCTTTTCATCACTTTGGAGCACATTCCCCCTTCTCCCCTATCCCTCCATACCAGGACACTGTGCCTCCCTCCTCCACCTACCTCGCCACTCTGCGGCTGTCCCCATCCGTCCCTTCCTTACTCTTCGTGATCTGTTTATTTCCCTGTAATCTCTCATGCTTCTTCCCATCCCCCACCGTTTCAGCCCTTCATTCCCCTCCCCCCCCCCCCCCCATTCCTTTTACAAACCCTGCATTGTGCTTGTCATCAAGCATCGGAGACATTGGGTCCCTGACCTTCTCAGCTCAAACGCCCATTTCCCAGAGTTTGTGCTTCTCTGCCTGTCAGTCTGTCTTCTCATTCCTCGGCTCTCCCCACGGGCAGCGTCTGCTGATGGACTTCGTCCTGGTGTGTGACTGTTGTGATTCCTCTGTGCGCGGAGGAAGGGCCTTTTTGAATCCCTTCCAAGTGAGATTGTAAATGTAGAATTTTCTACTGTGGGATCTAGATTTTTTTTTTCTTTTTTTTTTTTTTGGGGGGGGGGTTGTGTGGGTGGGTGGGAGGGTTACAGAACTGAGACCCTGTGCATGCATGTAGAAAATTGTAAAATGTAAATTTTTTTAATATATAAAATGCTTGTTTTTACAGTTTGCAGTGAATCTAAACATTATGGCAGTTTTAGGGATTTTTTTTTTTTCTTAACATAGGAACTAAAACTGTACAAACTTTTTTTAAAAATATAAAATAAAGACATTTGACTTTTGTGGGGGCATTTTGTTGTCTTTCTTTTTTTACAGAGAGCAAAGAGGGTCAGGCCATAGTGTATATGTGTGCTCCTTGTTAGGGAACGGGTAGGCCAGGAGGGGGCAGTGTGAGCTCATTATCATTCCATTGTTTCTCAGATGAAGGAACAGGAAATTGTTCTCTTTGAGGAGAGGCAGATGGGGATGGGTGGATGGTTGTTACCATAAGAATTTCAGGGAATAATTTATTTTAGCCAACAGTGACTAAAAATCCCTGAAGTCTATGTCTTATTTCTAAATATCTTATTTCGGAGTTTTCGAGATGGATCCAAGATGGCTGCACAAGTAAACACCTAGCCGCAGTCGCACACAACAATTTTAATAAAATACAACTAAAATATAAAATGGACATTACCCAGAACTACAGGAAAGTCTACTGACTGGAAATTCTACAACTCCAAACAACGAGAAGCAAGGAGAAAACCAGAAGGATGAGCGGAGGAGCTGTAAAAGCCTAAGGTACGGAGACATGTGGCGTGCGCGGAGAGGAGGGAGGCTGAGTGCCTGGCTGGCGTTCCCTACCAGGAAGGAGATAAAAGCTCTGACTGTGCTGGGCCCCAGTTCTGACTGCTCTGAACCCCAGTTCTAGGCCAAACCCCGGGGACTCAGGCTCAAACAGAGGGAGCTGGGCTGTAAGGCGGAACCCCGGGGGAGCGGCGAAAGGAGGTCCCGGAGCACGCACATTGCGCGCAGAGTAGGGATGGTTGGCTGTGCCTCGGGATTGCCCTGGCGGGAAGGAGACAGGGGCTCCAAACTGCTCTGAACGCCACCTCCAACTCCACTTCCAACTGAACTGAACCCCAATACCGGGCTCAGTGGGCAGGCAAAAATCAAGGGCATCTTTCTCTCAGAGGCGCTTGCAGCGAGTATTGAAGGACCCTGAGAGGCAGGAGCCGCATAGGGTGGGGCTGATGGAACCCAAAGCTGTAGGCTCCACTCTGAAACCCCGCCCCATCAGGGAAGCTGCGAAAATGCGATAACGAAATAAATCACAAATGAAAGAAATGGAGGACAAAAAGCAACTGGATATAGAGTTCAAATCTACGCTTATAAGGTTTTTCAAAAATTTCCTAGAAAAGGTCGATAAGACCTATGAGGATATGAAAAGGGATCAACTAGAATTGATAAGGAATCAACGAGAAATGATAAGGGATCAACAAGAAATAAAGAATACATTGTCTGAAATAAAAAATATTATACAGAGTCCTAAAAACAGAATGGAAGGTCGCAAGAATTAAGTCAAAGATTGGGAACATAAAGAGCCAGAAGACACTCCTCCGCAGAAGCTAGAAGGCAAGAGAATGCAGAAAATTGAAGATAATGTAAGAAACCTCTGGGACAACTTCAAGCGAACCAACATCAGAATTATGGGGGTCCCAGAAGATGAGAGAGAGCAAGATGTCGAAAACATACTGAAAGAAATAGTGACAGAAAACTTCCCCCACCTGGTGAAAGAATTAGACTTTCAAGTCCAGGAAGCGCACAGAACTCCGAACAAAAGGAATCCAAAGAGGACCACACCAAGACACATCATAATTAAAATTCCAAGAGCAAAAGACAAAGAATATTAAAAGCAGCAAGAGCAAAGCAGGTAGTTACCTATAAAGGAGCACCTATACGATTGTCAGCTGATTTCTCAACAGAAACCATGCAGGCCAGATGGGAATGGCAAGAAATATTCAAGGTGATGAATAGTAAGAACCTACAGCCAAAGATAATGTACCCAGCAAAGCTATCACTCAGAATCGAAGGTCAGATAAAGAGCTTCACTAATAAAAAAAAAGCTAAAGGAGTTCATCACCACCAAACCAGAATTATATGAATTGCTGAAGGGGGTTCTTTCGGAAGAGAAAGTAAATAAAGATAAAAATTATGAACAACAAATACGTAACTATCAACAAGTGAATCTAAAAACCAAGGAAATTAAAAAAAAATCTGATGAACAATATTAACTGTTGACTATAATAGAATCAGAGGTATGGAAGGGGAGTGAACTGATGATTCTTGGGGAAAAGGGGAAAGGGGAATGTGGGAAGAGACTGAACATAAACTGTGCACCTATGAATGAGGACAATGGGGGGTGGGGAAAAGGCAGAGGGTGGGGTGAGAACCTGGTGGAGGAGAGCAATGGCGGGGGGGGGGGGGGAGAGGGGGAGGGAACATTTGTAATAATATGGACAATAAAAATTTATTTAAAAAAATAAAGATAAATAAATATCTTATTCCGACCATTATCTCTTCAGTCTTTCAGGCACTGCACGAAAGAAAGTATAGCAATAGTCATTTATTTAAAACTAGAGGCCCGTGCATGAAATTCATGCATAGGAGAAGAGGGGTAGTCCCTCAGCCTGGCCTGCACCCTCTCCAATCTGGAACTCCTGCCTGCTTGATCGCTCCTAAATGCCTCTGCCTGCCAGCCTGACCCCCCTAACTGCTCTCCCCTGCTGGCCTGATCCCGCTAACTGCTCTCCCTAACTGTCCCAATTGCTCTCCCTTGCCAGCCTGATCCCCCTAACTGCTCACTCCTTCTGGCCTGATTGCCCCTAACCACCTCTGCCTCAGCCCCCACCACTGTGGTTCTGTCTGGAAGGATGTCCGGTCTAATTAGCATATTACCCTTTATTAGTATAGATGAAAATATTCAGTTGGCATTGCGCTTATATTCAAGTATCAGAATCAGCAAGAGGACAGGGCCTTTCAGCTCCACCAAGACCCAAGCTTCTCTGTGACTTTGAGCAAAATACTTAGCACATAACAGCTTCTTAAGGTTAAAACAAATAAGCAAACGTAAACTGGACTGGAGTTGACCTGCTTCCTAGGTTCAGTCTTCCTCTTCCCACCTCATGCTTTGCCAGGCTTTGAGGATGCAGAGACAAGAGATGAGGTCCTTGTCCTGGGGGAAGATCCAGCTGATAGGATGTCGCAGACCCAATGACCTAAGGTGAGGCCGTGGCCTGGTCACAGGCAGGGCACAGAGGAGCACCGGCTGGACAACAAGGAACTCA